CAACCACAGCAGCTAATAATGCTTCTAATACACACACATATGGGCATGTAAGTATTGTATTAAAAGACAGCCTCTAATAATCATGTCAAAGTAGTTATTAATTTGATTTTTTTTTTTTAACAAAAGCTCCCCCTTTTAAAAAACACTTAATATATAACCTTAATATATAAGCCTTAATTACCTCATGTATAACACAACCAGTGTGACCTGCTGATTAACGTCCACTGACATTTAGAGACCTAAGAAATCATTCATGTCTAATTGTTACTGATATTTTTTTAGCTTCTAACTGAATTGAAATTTGATTTCTAATGAAGAATTTAAAAAGATTTTGCAGAATACAGTTTAAACCAGGCTGAACATGCGCCGTAGTTTAATATCATCGCAGTCAATCTAACGCGGGGTGATGAGGCCACTTTCTGCCGCAGAAACATCATTTCTTCCTCCTGCTTCCAGGATCCCTGGTGTCAGGGACGGTGGCTTTGCTTAGAGGAAATGCCCTGACGCTGCATTTTCTCCCGTGCTGCAGAGCAGAGGGGGGGGTTTTTTTTTCTAAACAAGGAGGCGAACGCCGTTCATCATATCCCACACAGCTGAGGGACGTGGACCGCTGGGGCCTCAGCAGCAAAGTCTCTGCCATGTGCACAGAGGAAATAAACTTTCACTACCAGCAGATGGTGATTTCAGTGGCCCAGTAAGACTCCCAGATCATAAACAGCACACTGATGTCTCACTTTATCTTTCTGTGGAGCTTCAGAGTCACTAAAAAGACTCGCCTGACTCACTTCTACAGACAAGATTTAAGAAAAACACATATACAACTTATGAACATATCATAGATAAAGTGTGTTTTGGTTTTTTCATTAATGCTCATTTACTTCCTGAAGTATTACATGATGACAATAAAGACTTTCCATTTCATTTCTATTTGATAATCTAGTGACGTATGTTATATATTATTATATTTTATGTTTCAGGTATTTTTTGTTTTAATAATATATAAATTAACATTATGAAAAATATCACATAAGGCAGGAAATGTTGCAATATTCCATATTACAGAATATTGGCCCGAGCCTAATGATGCTGTGGTCCAGTCAGAATCAAAGAGACGCTTTACACACATAAATTATATCAAAACACTTCATCAACAAGCAATTACAGCAGACACCAGCTGATTGAATCACCACCAAAATAAAAGGATCAGGGCTGAAATTATTTTTGCCAAATGAACACAGCCTCGTCTTCACACTGTGGTGGAATAAATGGAAACCAACGGGCGTCTGGTTGGTGTAAAAAAAAAAACCACTGCTGCAGCATTTGGAAGCTGGTTGGTATGGAAACATGCAGTTTGAACTAAATGTGCTGAAACATGCGACATTACTGATGTGGTCCTTTACTGGACACAGAGGAGGTGAATGTGGTGTGTGGAGTTAATGTTGTGCGGCGTGATGGAGCAGGACGGAGGCTGTGGGGAGGTTCACACTTCATGTGTGTGTGTGTGTGTGTGTGTGTGACACGGTGGAACAGCGGGGTGTTTGACCATCTGACCCTCTGCAGGTCTGTCCTGCCTCACCATCCATCTGCTCAGCCTGCTGTCCCGAGGCCATTTCCCACACAGCCCACTGTTTACCCACAATTCATCTAATATAACAAACTCCAGGTGCGGTTACGACCTCTTTCATCAAAGGCAGCGATAACACGCCGGACGATGTTAGTGACTTGTACTTTTTGCCCCATTAGCATCATTAGGAGTTATTGCAAACCTGCAGTTGATCTGTGGATTCACGTGTTCAGAACGAAGTTTCTGATGAACAAAAACACAGAGGATCTCAAACGCCTCACTTCACACCTACGACCCTCTGAAAAGCTCAGTGTCCATCTCTTAACAGGATTATTAAACTAAGAGAAAATATGCTGCAATCATCTCATTTAAATGCAGCTATAATTGCTACTTTTATAATATCAGTGGATGAAATTATGTAAAAACAATGTGACAACGAGAGAGAGAGAATTCACAACATTGGATCCAGCCCATGGGCGGTGGGGGCAGTACGTTAGCACGCAGCCATCCACCAACAATGGAGGACAGTTTTTAAGAGAATCTAACAGAGCTTGATCATAATTACTCTATTACACGTTATTGTGTTATTTGTCATGTTATTTTGCCATGCGTTCCCTAGTTTTTTTGTATCTTCATCAACATGGATCATGTGTAAAATTAGGCTACGCTAATGTTTTTGCATGCATTCATGCATGATGGTGAATTATCACTATTTCAGCTTAATTATGCAGTTATCTTAATTGCATGCTATTCTTGCCTTCGTAATCGTCGTTGATAAGGACTCGAGCACTTGTAGGTCGCCTTGCGTGCTTTGTTTCTGATTCATTTATTTATTTGGATCCTAAACTACTCCTCCTTTCTGATTTAATGCTCGTACATTTGAGTGTAGGCTGTTTTGCTATTTGACCGATCTGTGTGTAATTCGTGCCAGTGAAACCTAGAATGTAGTACATCCCTCTGCAGTATATCATATATCATATATGTCAGATGCGCTGGCACAAAGCATGTAGGTCTACAGTATATGCTTGCAGCTCTTTGCAAAGAGTCGGTTACAGCTTTGTTTGCATCATTTCAGGTTAAGGGTCGTCCAAGCGTCTTCTATTCCCACTGTAAATACGCTCTCATCAGATCAGCACTGGTTCATGTTCACTGAGCCGGGCCTGATGTTCTAAAGCTACGCTTCTGTTCCTGTTCTTTCGTACTTTCACACCGAGATAACCGAATGAGTAGCGTGTAACTAATGTAAATGAACAACATTACATCAAGAAGAAAAGTTGTTTTATCTCAAGTACAAAGTGCAGAGTGGGTGGAAAGCACAGGCCTTCACTACTGGTCCAAAGTTTTATCACACACCCCTGTTTTTCCACTTTATATTGAGATTTCAGCAGCTCAAGTCCAATGAATAAACTGAGCTGCTACAAAGGTCAGCGGTAAACTGCCCGAAGTAAAACAAACAAACAAAAACGTTTAGGTCACAAAAACTGATTAACTTCCTGTTTTCTTGCAGTAATGGGCGTAAAAATTCAAATCCGACCGTTCAGAAACACTGAGATGTTGAATTTTGCAATATCAAATAACAATAAGCAAAATGGCGGAACAGAAGAACATATAGTGGGTTAAGGTCAACTTGCGGTTTCAGAGGAGACGCTGCCTTCACGTCCGTGTTGTCGTGCTGCAGAGGTCAATGGGGATGAGCGATCTCAACGCTGATTGATTGCAAAAGAGAACAGTTCAGACTGCGGCTCCAGCTGTCCACACAAGTAGAGAAAAAAAAACAACCCAAAAAAAATCAATGCGTGAAGCTTGAATTTGTCAACAGCCATCAGAAAATAAACTGCTGTGCCTCAGAAGAATCAGTTGCTAATAACATCACCACAAAACCTGCGAGTCCACCAGAATATGTCCGTATGGAAATGAAGCTAAAAGGCGGTTTGTATGGAGACGCTGTGTGTGTCTGGATATGGCAGATATCTGGCAATTTTTGCAGAAAGACATTTTTCATTCATTGTCATTGTAAGAAAAGCACAGAGGTTACTTATCTCCAAGCTGGATTTTTTATTTTTCATACCGTCCACTAGCTTGGTGGAAACTGAAATATCTCAGCAACTATTAAATGGATTTTTTTTCTTTTTTCTTTTTTTTTGAAAGCACAAAGCTGCACAAACATTTTCACAAACGGTGCAGATGTAAACTGGAATGAAAAAGAGGATTCAGTGAATCTGCTCCACTTCATCATGTAGACTGAATATTAATAAGATGTATATCATATATATAAATCACTTTATATCTTCAGTTTGTTATCAGCTGCCCTCTCAGCAGCCGTAGTGCGCTACCCCCCCCCCCACACCCTCCCCTCCCGCTGCAGATGACTGACCTCTGGACTTTGGCGGCTGTTCATCATTACATAAGTGTGACAGGTTATCTGCTGAGGAGGGACAACTGCACTGCTGCGAGTGGCTTGTGTACAATACGTCACGTATTAACCGAGCTCGTGGGAAAAAGTTTATTTGCAACTAATAACTGCTCATTAAATCTTCTGTTGTAACATCACACACTCGTTTTGTTTACTGGTTGTCACACACACACACACGACGTGTTTGTTTGCTTTAACCTTCCAGGTTTGAACAGTTAAATATAACCGAGCTGTCACAGTGGAAACCTTTCCAACTCTCACTCTTGACTCTCGTCTCCAGCCCACACACTAACTCAGCTTCTTTCGTCTCTTCTACATTTGAGCCACTTTGAAAATGCAGAGAAGCAATTAACTGCTCATTGCTGTTTAACGCTGAATTAACGGCACCAAAGTTTAATTCATTATTATTTAATGAATGCATTCCTTTATTTGGATAGATTAGTTTTAAAGTTAGTTTTTCTTTATATCACTTCATTTTTTTTAAACTTCAAAATTTTTCAATTTACAATTAACTAATAATATACTTATAACAACGTATTATTATTGTCTATGATATTTATAATAATAGTTTTTTATAATGTTCATGGACACATTTGCTATTTATATAGTTTATGCCAGAATAAAATAAAATAAAATAAAGTTCATTCCACTGCTAGTTTAATTGTAATTATTGTAATACTTGACGAATGTGAACTCCAGTAAAAAGACAGCAGCAGGTGCAAAAGACAACACAGATAAAATCTGATAGATAAATATTAAACTTTTTTATACTACGTGAAAACTGCACCGCCGTGTTCTTTGCCCTACACTAAGACTGCCAGGCACTCACGTCCTGTTAACTCTCATCATAAATCCTCCTCTAACACTGGAGCAGGTGCACACCACAGCAAAGTCCCCAGTCCAGACCATAACCAGGTTCAGTCCGACCTTTGACCTGCAGGGGCCTCTGTGTGTGACGGAAACACTGCGTCCCTGGCAGACAACGCTCAGGGCGTAAGACCCTGAAAGTTCTCCACTCCTCCGGTTCCTCCTCCACTTTCAATGGGCGTGACTGTTGGAGCCTGCAGAGCAGCAGTGAAGTGTCTCTGCTTGTTGTCCGTCACCGGTGAATATAGCCGACATGTCGAGCACAGAGGAGTATGACTGCGTAGTGATCGGGGCCGGGGTGCAGGGCTCCTTCACGGCCTACCGGCTGGCGAAGAACAACCAGAGGACTCTTCTGCTGGAGCAGGTGTGTCACACACTCAACTTAGTGCTGGGAGATCAGCTGTTTCCAAGCACCGTCAGCAGACTGCAGAGCGAGGTTCACTTCACATGATCCAACTGTGCAAGCATGAATTTAACTGACGGGGGGGGGGGCGGGGGCAGGCTGTGATCACATCCGGTTCAGACTGGTCTGAAATCTAACGTCCAATTATCATTATAATCATTAATGACCCGTGACACTCATCTCTCCTCATCTCTACTGCTCTTTACTGACCCGCACATAACACTGCTCTGATTCATTATAATACATGTATATTACATTAACCTACATTTGTTATTTTTTATTTAATTTGTGTGTAACTGCTTAGATGTAAAACATCACTTTTGAAAAACTGTTGTGGATTTTTTCATTAACTTTTATTTATTTGTGTGTGTGTGTGTGTGTGTGTGTGTGTGTGTGTGTGTGTGTGTGTGTGTGTGTGTGTGTGTGTGTGTTTTAATTGGTGAAATAAAACATAATAGACAGTTGACATGATTGGATTTGGCAGGGTGTGTTGATGGTAGTGTGTTTACATTGTGAGATGTTTCAATAATAGTCTGTGGTATAAAATAATAATAGTAACATTAATAATAATAGTATAATAAGGACTTTGTGAACATATTGACATATTAAAGTGTATGTATGTACATACAGCAGAAAATATTAGAATATATTATTAACCACTTATACTCGTAGTAAGGGGCAGCAGGGGGGCCCCCCAGTCCAACCCCAAGTAACCTTGTGTGGGCCCCTGACTGGGGGCAGAGAAGGGGTTTCTAACACAGTGTGACCACTTCCTGCAGGAGCACCGACTCTCCCGCTCTCTGTGTTGTGTATCTACTAGTCATTAACCGGTCGTTAGTTGGAGGTGACTTCGGTTAGTAACAGTAACCATGCAGACACAGTACGAACCACAAGCGTTTTTACTCCAACACTTCCTCAGGATTATGTAATTCTGCAGGTGCTGTTTAAAGCCTCCTCATTACAGTTTGCTTTAGTGCATCTAATAATCAACTAATTTGTGGTTAATGAAACCACCTGCCCTCACTGATGCAGTTAACTGCTGTAACAACTCATCATTAATAGACAACTTGAACTTGTGTGTGTGTGTGCGCAGCGTTACTGGAGTGTGTTCATTATCAGACACATACAAAACATTTTCCTGGCTTTTTTTGTTGTTGTTGTTGTTGTTGATGTGAACTTTATGACGTGTGGAACCGGGGGACACTTAAATTGGCGGGACGCAACCGTGGCAGCAAGAACCAATCAGCGGCGCCCGTCCTCATCTTCCCTGACCTCGTCGTGTGTGATGTAATATTGTGTGAATGTGTTCTTCATGTAACTTCCGGCCTGTGGTCCTACAGTTCTGTTGAGCTCACTCATCGGTGAATCATCTGAGTGTGTGTTTGTGTTGAGTGCAGCTCTGTGTGTGTCTGACCGTCTCTTTGTTTCCGCCACGTGCTGCGCGTTGTGGCGACGGCTTCACGACACATCTGCTGTCACACACCGCGTCCTGCTGAAGTCCCACCTCTCTGCTTCTGCTTCTGCTGGTCTTTGGTCTGTTTTTTGTGGCTGGAAACAGATAAAGAGACTAGACTGAATACAAACACTACAGGGTCCAGCAGTAAGACCATGTTTTGACCCGGTCTTGTTTTCTTTTATCTCATTGTCACATCGCTCTCTGGCAGCTGGAGACGCTCCGCTGCTGTTGCAGCCGGCGTGAAGATGTCAACAGAACTCCTGAGCGGGAATCTCCCTCACAGCTTTTCCCTTCATCTTCACACATCAGGTCTTTTTCTTTAATGAAACTCGTCTTTGTCTTTACAACAACACTAGTTTCTCTTGTTAAGTTTCTATCACTTCTCCTCCTCCTTCTGCTAATACTCCCTGTTCAAGAAATACAGATACACCATAAAGATCAGATGGCTGCTGATGCTGTAGTGCAGTCATCAAAATGAATAATGACTTTGTTAGCAAATGGATCACCAATAAAGTTGCGACTGTGTATTCAGTGGCTTGAAAATGAAAAAATATATTATCTGCAAAACAGCTCTAACCACTATTGGAAAAGTCGCTGTTTGAAGATGCTTTACTTCTGTCACACTATGAAGACGTGGCGAAGCTGTGGCCCGACCATGATGCAATGCAAGTTACATCCACAGGACATCTGGGGAGAAGAGCGGTGACTGTTGGGATAGGCTGGGCCGCTGTATTTGAAGGAGCCTTTCGAAATGGGACGGTCTAGACGCCCCGCTGTGACGCAATCACACGCTGCCATCGCTCTGTTTCCTCCCGGCTGTGTAATCAATATATTTTTTTCCTGTTATTACCACGGAGACTAGTCTGACTTCCCAGCTAGACGTAAAAGCTTCACCTGGGCTCAACACGTACAGGGCTTGAATATAAATGGTGCACTAGTCACACCTTCGAGCTGGTTGTAATTATCAGTTACGGACGGACTCCCATGTCTACATACTTTTGGCCAAATTAAAAAAAAAAAAAAAAGTATTTAATTTTAACCAGGTGACATCATGTTCCTGTTTTCCCAGTTCGTCCTGCCCCACACCCGAGGGAGCTCCCACGGCCAGACCCGCATCATCCGCAAGGCCTACGAGCAGGACTTCTACACCCACATGATGGAGGAGTGCTACGAGCTGTGGGCTCAGCTGGAGAGGGAGGCAGGTGTCCGACTGTACAGGTGAGCAGTCGGCAGAAACACACGGGGGGAGGGGGGGGGCATTAAATAGAACACACCGTAAGGAGAGCTTCACCAGGACACGGAGATTTGTCACATTCGAGGTGTTGTGCGTGCGGCACAAGAGCAGCAACTCAATCCACGGGAGCCATAAATGCATGACTTTCTCATTACCTCCAGCGTCACTGAATCACCCCTTCACAGCTCCCATGTGCCCCCCCCACACACACACACACACATAAACTGTTAAACCTCTGATTTTCATTCGCGGAGCGCGGAGGAATCTGTGTGTTTACAAATATGACAGCAGCATCAAACTGCGCGCACGCTTCCAGCAGCTCAGCGAGTTTCCTGGTCGTATTACCTCCGAGCGGCCCCTGTTTGTTTCTCAGCACCAGCCAGAGGAATAACACCGATTCATTATTCACGTGTCGGGGGTAACAGATCATGATACCGAGCCGCGCCCACATTTGTGTTCCGTAGAAACACAGTGCGCCTCCCCGTCCCAGTGCGCCCATCCATAACTCATGACTGATGGGTCCACGTCTGAAAGCCACCTGTGCCCTTGGGCTGGCAAAAATAAAAAATAAAAGTCTGCATCACAGTGAGAAATGTCCGGAGCCAGGCTGGTGAGAGCAGATGAAACCATCATAAAAGGCCTCGAGCTAAAACGTAACCACCAGTACCATACATGACAACATGAGCACATCCACCAGCTGACCCAGTGCCACCAATCACCCACTCGGATAGGTGTCATATTTACAACCTTACACACACACACACACCTGCACTGCTTTTCCTTCCTCCAGTCGTAAACACACACCGGCACGCCGGGCGACATAGTCATTAAATCTTCTAATGGACGGCTGAAGCCTTCAGCTCATGGCGTCTGCGCCTCATGGCGACTGACAGATGTTGGAGCAGCCTTTAGGAAACACTGTTGGCAAAGAGTCAGCCATCTATCAAGCAGGTTGCTGAATTACACCCCGAGTTTCACAACCGCTCACGACAGCTTTACTGTCCACTGGACGTTTGGCGTCCAGTCAAATGTCACAGTTAAGATCATGTTGAAGTTCCCATACTGCACACTTTCAAGTGGTGATCCATAAGAAGATATATATCTGGTTTAAAGAACCAAAAACCATCTCAGTGTAGTTTCACATCTCCTCTCTCAGGCTTATCTGAGGCCAATCAGAAGAGAAGCTCAGAGCCTCCTCTCTTCTGATTGGCTCACTGACCTGCTGTTACTAGAGCTCTAGAGAGATAAGCCTGAGAGAGGAGATGTGAAACTACACTGAGACGGTTTTTGATTCTTAAAAGCACAAGTGTATCTTCTTATGGATCAACACTTCAAATAAAACACAGGAGAAGAAGAAAATATGGAGCTTTAAATCATGTCCGTCCTCCATCTTTCAGAACAACATCCTCTCTTATTTCTATATGTATGCCATTGCAGGTCAGTATTCAACCCATCTACACACTCTTTGTTCCTCATAAAGTCACAAAAATTGATGGCAGTTTGACAGTGCGGCGCTGCTCTGGTGGAAGTAAAGTAAAATAAATCCACAGTTTTCCTGACGGAGCACACTGTAACGATTTCTGTTAGAGCAGGACAGTTGGTATCACCGAGCTGAGTCAGCCGGGTGAGGACAGTCTGGTTGGCCGCTGTGTTCCCGGCACTTCAGGAGGTTGTTGCAGTTGGTGTGGACGAGACAGATGGATGCTTCTGTAACACTCGTCACTTCTGGTCAGCACCCACAGGTTGGATAAGGATTTATGCGTGAAACCAAAATTCTTGGTCAGTTTTTTCAGCAGAACTGGTGAAGAAGCAGAACTACAGAGTGAAATCCAAGTGCCACTTCAGCAGCAGTGAGTGGGTGCTCTGCCCTAAGATTGTTTTTCCTCTTTCATCTCTTTGAGTGTCCTCTCATGCACAAGTAAGGCATCGCAGACCAGCTGGGCTGGTGCACATGAATACGTGAGTGATGCTGGCGTGTGCTTCCGGGTTGAGAAGTCCTAATTTGTCAGAATAGCTTCGCAGTTATTTGGAAATGCCACGGTGGAAACGTGCATGAACGAATGTGTCAGGAGAGGCTTGATCTAAAATCAGCATGAGAAACACAAGTTTGGATTCTACAGTAAATAAGCTTGGTAAGGAATTTTTTTTGTATCAAAAACAGGTTGTTATTGCCTCCCAAAACAAGCTGGAGTGTTTTCTGATTTGTCATCCCTCAACATTCCAGTCTCCGAGCGCACCTGCTATTTTGGTTTCTTAAGTTGCAGCAGTGGGAAATGCAGAACGGCTGGGTGAAGTGGGATATACGTCGGATAGATCCAGTAGCATGACTGGTATCCTCGCTCCGAAACAGCTGCGTCAGTCACAGTGACAAATGCAGGAAATGGCTGGTGCAGAGCAGCACATCCTGTGAACACACGGCACCGCAAATCTGCAGCCAGAGGCAGATGGTGCGGCTTTTTAACAGTTAATTAGTGCAATGATGATACAAATGAATAATAAAAATATAGCTCGGTGAAGCAGTTTACATGACTGCATCAATCCAAAGCCGCTTCAGTCATAATTCTACTGTATTTTACATTGTACACACGTGATACAGCAGCATTTGCTTTGTAATCCTTCCAACCATTCGCTGCCTCTTATTATATCTGAGGGTCACATTGCTTTGTAATAAAAAAAATAAAACATGAACTTCTGTTTTTTATTTCTTCAAACTGCAGAGGAGGCTGTGATGCACAGGATTAATGAGCTCTGTTAATCTAAAATACCTGATTTGAATAAACCTCCCACTTGTTTGCTCCTCTCCTCCCACTTGTGCACCCGTGCACTGGCTGAAATACAAGTCAGAGGAGCAAAGGGAAACTCAAGGTCAGGAAAAGACCAAACAGTCAAAGTGCTGCTTGCAAGAGTCGTTGTTCTGCCACAGAAATCGAGCCCAGAGAGTGTACAGCCATGCTCGTGGTGACAGGCGATGGAAATTTCAAAGATCACGAACGACTGAACCGAACTGCATGGCAGTCCATGTAACGGGTGTCAAGATATTTCGCTCTGAACCAGAGGAAAAATTCAGCAGATCTCCAAAGTCATCAGGACTCATCATCTGGGCACTATGAATGTAGATCTTGTAGATGTTACAATATTTCATGCACCAGTCAAAGTCTGCAGGATTCATCGTCTGGTGACAATGAACGCTGGTACAAAACTGCACGGCAATCAATCCCAACAGTTTCTGAGATATTTCAGTCGGATAAAAGTGGCAGACTGACCTCACTTCAGTGGTTAAGAAGTTTGGTTAAGGGGAAACTACAGTTTCTTACAACTTGGGTCACATTTTTATAGCTCACCAAAGTAGTTGCTGAGATTTCAGAGCGTGACAAAAGCAGATAAAGGTTAGGGAAAGATGATCTTGTTAAAAGAGACCAGGTAGAAGACGAGATGCAAGACAGGACAACTGCGAGACATTATCCAGGATGGAGTCAAATGCGTCGTAAACTCAACCAGCTACCCTCACGTCATGAGGACGAGACCTCACAACTGCTACTGTTGCATTCATCCTTATCTAAACTTTTCTAAAGATACATATGCGTTAATGCGTTAATATTGTGTTCTCCACCCTCTTGACCAGGTGAGGAAAGTTTTACCTTGTTTGAACGTTTGCCCAGACTCTATCTTTGGAGGGAAAACATATGGGAAACAAGCAAGGAGGAGGTTGAGTGCATATGAACAGCATTTCCTCTTTGCTTCCAGCTGACCTAGTGAATGCATCAGGGGGTTGTGAGTCCTCACTGACGGAAACTTCAAGATTAAACACAATTAGACTTTAAAATTGAGATATCTTAAAAAAGATATAACTTATGCAGTATGTTATTCGTACTCTGAATCCTCAACATGAATAACTCTCTGGACGTGTGAGCTGATGTCTCTCTGTGAATGCAGATTTTATTTTTTTTCTTCATTCCACCAGCACCTCGCTGTCCTGTGTCAAGTTTAATAGTTTTTTTCAAGGGTGCATAGGAAGGCAGCGGGGGGTTTGTGAGGAGAAACCTGTTGTGTTGATGACCCTGAGTCGATCCACCCAGCTGCATGAAGACAATACTCAACAACAGCTCTATTCAACACAGTGTTGCATTTTCACTCCACTATCAACAGCTGCGTTCAGGTTGTTCACAAGAGTACAATACATGTAATTTCACCGCAGAGAAGTCAAGACAGAGATTACTATACTGGAGCGTTTACAAACCGCCAAATCCATGACGTCATAGTTTTTTTTGGAAAATCTCCCGGGGCATCCTGGCACAGTGGCGCCATGCTGCTGCTCTTCAGGTACAAACTGAAGCTTCAGTGGTAAATGCAAATCACAGAGAAACAAAACCTTCTTCCAACATGTTGTTTCAAGGTCAGGAAGGGAAACAACAAGGTGAACAGGAAACTACTACTAATTCTGAACTCAAGGTTCCTTATTAGCTTTTATTGGAGCTTTCAACCTGATGATTATCTGATGACATGGCCTTCGTCAAGATTTTTCAAGTGTCGTTACATAACCTTTTTAAAAAGATAACATTTCAACATTGACATGATGACACAAGCTTTTTTACTGTGCAATCACTGATGACAACCCTGAAATGTGGTCGAAAGCTGCGTAAAAGCTAGTAGGTGACATTTGAGTTGAAATGTTTTTGTTCCACAAGGTCTGAAAGAACCAGAAGTCAAATGATGAATAGGTCCTTTCTGGTCTTCACCTCCACTGATTTCCCCCCCTCAGACAAACAGGACTCCTGGTGATGGGACCGGAGAACAGCCAGAATTACCAGCTGATTAAAACCACCCTGGAGAGGAACAAGGTTCCCACGGTGGTCCTGACCCGTGACAACTTCAGCCAGCACATCCCCAACTTCAACCTGGCCGAGGGAGATGGAGCGGTGGTGGACATAACTGCTGGCGTTCTGTATGCTGACCGCGCACTCAAGACCGTACAGGTACTGCATAGATATCATTGGTAGATTAGGTGTATGTTAGCTTCAGGAAGTACAGGTGAACGATGTGGTCCACATAGGATATGATGCGTTAGAGATCCCCCAATCCAAGTTGCGAGTGAAGTCTAATCGAGACTAATCATGGAGGTAGGGCTGGGCCATATGACGATTATGTCAAACTTTTTACTTTGTCGCTTTTCTGCTTTTATATTCGGCAATGTGATTGTGTTCCAAGCGATTAAACCAATTCGTGGCATTACCTTTGGTCGCCATCGATGTTGCGCTCACCACTATCTGGTAGTTGTGACTGTTGAAGACCCATTCACGAGGCGAGGCGGGTGTCTGCGCCATCGTTTCCAGACTACAGGTCCAGACTGCAACACTAAACACTTTTCAAACTTAAAAACAGGTCACACCAGCAGGGTTTCCAAAAGTCTCCGTTTCCAGAAATTGAAAACTACTGGAGTGTGGCCGCCCGTAAAACTAAAACGTATTAGTGTCGGTGTAGCCTGAGGGATCAAGTTACACCATTGGTCAGCTTGCCAAATGTTGGAGTTTCCCCAATGGTTGATGCTCTTTCAAAACAATTCGGCACAAACCAGCAGTGTTGCCACCTCAGCTCCTTTATCACTAGATTAACCGACTGTCTCAGGCCCCTTAAGCTTAGACTTAAACTAAAACGCTCAAGTGTGGATGTAGCCTAGAGGCTCAGAGTTTTAACTTGAGTCCTCCATTTCGCCAGCTTTGCTTTGAGTGACCGCGGACTAACGTTAGTCAGACGATGCGGAACATGAGGTAGTAATTTTTTAAACGGGGACAGTTCACAAATGAACGCATTGGGGAAAGTATTAACTGAATTAACCGATATGAGCAAGATTAATCACGTTAGCGGCTCTTAATGTCGGTTTTGATACCGTTTTGGTTGATTGCCTTACATGGAGGTCTATAAAGTTCATTCACCTCAAACAATCTGCGTCTTAAAGTTTTCAAGGATTTTTCAAGGTCTCTCTCGTCTTGGTAAGTATGAAATGCTCAATGTCTGTCATCTCTCACATGCTAAAATGTGTGGTCCTTTAAAAGGTGCATTTCAAAGCATTAATAGAAAATTACCCAGTATGTCACTGAAAAGAAAATTTCAATAAAATATAAATTGATGTCTGCTCCAGGGTTCATGACGGAAAGTCTGTGTGTTGATGGAAATCTGTGTAAAACTGTAGACAATTCTCCTGTAGCAAAAACCTTTGAGAGCATGTGGAAGTAACGAGAGATAAAAGAAGCAAAACACTTTCTGATTTCATATGTGAGAAGCAGATAGAAAACCGGGCTGAAAAATACCCAGATGTGGATAATTGAACATATTTCATTGCCTTTGTTTTAATCTAATAATAGCTCACAGCAGGGATATCTTCAGCAATAAATTCACATTACTGGACTCTGTCAGCACTGACAAAAAGCACTGGAGGAGAACAGACTCATCCGTGGCTGCCAGGTCAAGCACAAAACACTGCTTTGTTGTTTCAATGAGGTGCCACTTTCAATTGACTGGACAGATGTTCAGCCGCTTTTCTTTTTTCTTTTTTTGTGAAGCAGCAGTCAATTAGAAATTAAAGCTTGTGGTGATAGATGTGTAATAGATCAGTAGATTATTGCTTTGTGTATTTTCATGCAACGGCTCTTTAATAGCCTCTTGCCTTTAATATTATGTCATAATAAACGTCGCAATTGATCTGTCTTGTTACATTATCTCAGAGTGGCAGGTTTCTTAATGTCTTTTTCTACTCTCTGTTCTCTCGCTCTCTTTGAAATCTTTGAAAACTCTGCTGATTTTCTTTCACGGTTGCACACAGGGCCAACTCAGGTGCGTCTGGGGCCCTAAACTGTTTGACGACCAGACACCAACACTGTTGATCCGGTCGTTGCGGTGATGTAGGCTAGCTAAACTGATTGCATTGTGACACAAAAGCATAATTCACCCGTGGGGAAAGAGGGAACTGTAAATCAGCACAGTCACTGATTTCACTTTGAGCTACTGACGGAACATCAGCAGCATCAGAACAGTGCTGATCTTACAAGCACCGCAACAGAATACCAACGAGACGAAGCGGCTGAAAAATGGCGCCCACATGGAAGTGCCAAAATCTGCAGTCCCTCTAATGGCCACTTGAGGCTGACTCCAAAAGTGTTAACGTTAAAGTGCCCAACTTTACACCACGAATAGATACAGATATGTTGTGACTGAATTCTTAAAAACAAAATATGTCAATTAATACTTCTTTAGGAGTGACTGCTGATCAACGGTTATATTTGAAGCACTTACTAACATTTACGTTCATGCCATTTAAAATGTTTTCATTCTGTCGGTCTCTTCTCCCAGGGGCAGTTTCAGAAGTTGGGTGGGATCATAAGAGACAAAGAGAAGGTAATGGACATCAAACCCGGCCCGGTTGTGACAGTGTCAACCTCTGCCGGTGTTTATCGAACCAAGAGACTGGTGATCACGGCCGGACCCTGGGCTAATAGACTGCTGAGCCACACTGGCTTACAGCTGCCACTGGAGGTACCTCAAACGTTCTCTTCATATGCACCGTTCTGTTTTATAAACGTCATTCATTGTGAATCTGCAGAGACACCGTCCCCTCCACCAATATTTAGACCAGTCAATGAAAAGAACGGCAAAGCAGAGGCATTATCAAGCATTAAGCTTGGTCGATTTTAGATATGATTGAATACATTTGCCTTCACTTTATCCGCTGTCATCTGTGGTCTCTAATGTAGAAACATTACAGCCTATAGCAAGATCTTTGATGAAGTCCTAAGGAGTTGACGAAAATGCAGAAACACACCCTAACTCGCCACGTTACGGAAAGTCATAATAATTTCTTGAATCCACACCAAAATTTAATTTGTTCCCCTCTGATCCATGACTCATCCCTCCTCCAAGTTTGGAGGAGGTAATAAACTTAGATAAATATGGTAGACATTATTCTTATTCTTATTATTACCTCCACCAAGGGGGTCATGATAACACCTGGGTCTGTTTTTTTGGTGCAGATTCCAGGAATTTTTTTTAATCACTTTCCTGTACATTGACAGATTTGAGGGCAGTTTTGGACATTTTCATCAGTTTGTCAGAGAGTAAAGTTTGGATCTTGATGTAAAAAAGATCACGTTTATAGTGTTGAGATCTATGAGTTTGTACAGTTTGATGGGACTGTTTGGCCTTGGCGGAGTTATGCACTCTCTGCCGCTCTAGTTGTTTATTTAGTGTGTTACATCGTCATATTCATATCGCTTTGGATTACGAGTAATTTCCCGAGCAAACTGAAGTGAAGTCTTCACCCCATGTGGACTCTCTTAAAGTCGGCAGAAAGTCCGCTTCAGGCCCCTTGTGGATTTTAATGAACTGCGGATTTGTACAGCCCTCAGCACTCGCTGACCACCCGGGATTGAGCCTGTTTAAAGTCTGCGAGCGTGGTAGACGCTGAACATTTGGATTCAGCTATAGTCAGGCAAGGCAAGTCTTTTCCATCTTACAATATGCCATACATTCTGAAAAGAGAAGGTGATGGAGAAACAAGCAGACAGCTGTTAGAGTGGAGAGCTGGAGCTGATATTGGAGTTGCATTATTCAGGCTTGCAGCGAGCTGTGGGGGGGCCTGGGGAATGCCATGCCTGTGTGAACGGATAGAAAAGCACAGACTCCGAGTTCATTGGCTCGTCGGAGTACTTCAGTCTGAATTTTTATGGTGCCCGGGAACGAGTGCACGGCCGGTTAGTTCATTACACTGAAAGCTCCTGAACAATGTGTCCTTATTATGGCCCACCGTCAGATGGACGTCGTCTGCACGGTCATGTGTACGTTTCGTTAAATCCTAAGTCCCACCTCGCTGCTGCAGAGCTGCTTTGTAATTGCACTTTATGAGCAGAAAAAAAAAAAACCAGAGAAGGGGGGGTTATGCGTTTTGTTTGTATTTTAAGAATAAGGTTTTAGTGAAAGCTGCCATTTCTGTTTCAGTGTGTATTCATTCAGGAGTCTCATACTGATCTATTCACTGTATTGATTAATGAAACTGCATCATCATATCTGAGGCTGCCCACGCTCAACAACTTCTACCAAGATCACCACGACAACAGTTCCACTTCAGCAACACTCAAGGCATCTGAAAAACCTCTGATCACATTTCAGTTGAATCCGATATTTCGTGTCCCCGATGGTTTCTGTGTCCTCGTGACCTTTCCTCTCGCACCGTCCACTTGAACACAGGGAAAAGTAAAAAGCAGATTGGCATGAAATTTACGGAGGGCGGCAAATTAATGCCGTTCAAAGGATGAAGTCTTTGTATTTTTGGACAGGGGTGAATACAAACCATTCTCTCTTGTCATTTGTTTAAATACCTAAAAGGGAAATTTACTTTTGCCTGACAAATCCAGTTAATCCAGCTAATCAAATCCAGAGGATGTCTCCTGGAGTTTTAGTCTTAGAGATTTATGTATTAAACTTTTGAAGTTAAACTACTTGATTTTTGCAACTCAGGCTGTTAAAACCTCATTTAATTGCAGAACAAGTTTGAAACGTGTTGTTGCACAGAATGAGGAGTATAGATTTCATCCCCCATCCACTTGCATTGGAAGGACATGAAGAAGGCTACTTCCACACGGGAATCGAACACCGCTCTCCTGTGTCACATTCATCCACCACCACCTCCTGCTGACGTGGACTTTATCTCTATATACTACGTCACCAACACTTTTCCCTTCGCTCCTGTCATAATTACTACGGCCACTAGGTGTCGCTTAGCAACAAAACGTAACTATGGGTCATAACAACCTGCATCAAGTTGCATCAAAACTGAAGCGTGGTCAGTCATTAGGTCTTAAGTAGGATCCAGGTCTCTGGGGGCGTCATTGTTTTTCCCTGGTTTCTCTCCACTGTAGGTGGTGAAGATCAACGTGTGCTACTGGAAGGAGAAGGTTCCTGGATCATACGACGTGAAGCGGCGCTTTCCCTGCTTCCTGCTCACTGAGGGCGAAGAGGCCGACGAACACATCTACGGCCTCCCGTCCAACGAGTACCCGGGTCTGGTGAAGGTACGTCACAGGAACTGGATCGTCCAGTCTGACTTCACATCACAGAAACTCTAGATTCTGCACATAGTCCTCCAACATTCATGGTAATTATTTAAAAAAGGAGGATATATTAATGATCATTCATTTTTTAATATGCTTTCATTTATCTATCAATTGGCTTCATTTTTCAGCATTAGTGTTTAAACCAGTGCTGTCTGTGCACAGATGCAAATACAGCTTTTCATTATACAAAGGCACATGCACTCACTGGAGCACTGCTCATCACATGATGTGGTTTATTATACAATAATTTCGATATATGCAGAAATATATATTTATGAACATTATATTGGACATAAACATTGTTGTTTCAAAGCCATTCTTGTGTCGCCTTCCTGCAAAACAAATTCTCTCAAGTACCAGTTTGCAGTGATTTGTTTATTTATATTTGCAGTGAATAATAAAACTAATTAACACAGATTTTGAAATAGATAATCATTTATTTCTCACACCTATAGGAGAGACAGAAAAAGAGGGCCGACTGCTACTTCTCTGAAACGAAAAACACTGCTGCAAAGTCAACTGTAAAATGTGATGTGTCCTACCTCAACATCAGATTAGTTGTGGGAGTTGTGCTGGGTTTGATGGCACATCTTTATTTCGGGGCATTATGGCAGACCAGCGGGAGCTCGCTGCCTAATGGCAGACCACATGCATAGAAGAGGGGGGGGGACAGATGGTGGTGCCACGTCGTATTATTCACTCTGAGACACAGTCACCAGAGCTACTGTATGTCCAATATTTGGACCATTAAACATAATTTGAAAGAAAATGAAGCAGAGAAGGATATTGTAATTACTTATATTGTGTGTGTGTTCCCTTAATCCCTCAGCTCCCTCGCTGTGCCTCTAGCCTCTGAGTTAGACTGTATGTGTCAGACCATATAGAGCACATTAAAGCAGCTTTGAGAGTTTGCTGTGTGTAAATACTGCTACATTAAACTTCACCCGATATATTCTAAAAGTAAACCCAGTGAGTGCTGCAGAAACGCACAGGAAACAGTCGACTCTTTAGTCTTTATCTTCTTACTCAACTGTGTTGTTAGACAACATAACGTCTATCGTCGTGGCTATGCAGACGACACTCAGCTGTATATTCATGTGAACCCAGATAATTACTGTTGTATTAATAACTTGATTACATGCAATCAAAACAAATTTTTATACATAAAAACATTGATTATGACAAATATTTCCAACTACTTCCTGTTTGGATAATTATACAGATACAGCGAGTAACTTCTTTGTTTTCAGTCATTGCACAGATGTTGAGGTAGTTACTGATGTTTTTATTTTCAATGTTCCTCATTGCACATCAGCTGTAAAACTGTCAGCACAAGACGGATTATGGATTTGGGACTGCTGAATGCTAAAGTAAAGAGCGCACTGGCACCTGCTTCTTTGAATAGGAATGGGTTTGCAGTGGACGTGAGGACGTCCATGCTTTCCCTGTTTTGACTTGTTGTCATTCAGATGATGGTGAGGTAAGTAAACAAAGCAGGAATTACACAAAGACCTGAGATTAGTGAATACAACATTAATAGAGGCAGAATTTGCTGTACGCTATAAGTCTGTGAAAATAAAACTATTGAAAATCAACAAATACCAACATATACCCCATGAAAAATACAGTGAGTGCTCCTATTCATTTATGCATGGTAGGCTTGGGCTGATATTCAATAGTATCAAATATCGCACCAATATCGACTATCACTATATTTCCTACCATATGCAATATTTTTCATTATTTTATTTATTTATTTATTGGTAGTTTTGCACAGTCTTCCCTGCTGCTGAATCGGACCCTCATTTCACCTCATTGCTTACTGCAACGCTGCATCAAGATACTAAAAGGAGCTTTTTCTAAGTTTTGCTATTGCTACATAGCTAGCGTTAGCATTAACTGCTGTGCACTTACTACTTTAGAGGTTACATGTTCAGCGTCAAACTTCATTCCCTTACTCACCAACTGCCGTCTGCAGAGGTGGCAAGCAACGACAACGTTAACTCCTGTCTCTATCACGTCTTTTCTTCTACTGAGGTTAGCACGCTAACAAGCTAGCCACAGCCCGTCTTGTCCGACTTTCTGATAGAGACAACCACCACCACCTGCCCCCAGCAAGAGACCGCCTTCAGCAGCAGAGAAAACTTACGAACAGCCCCTTTAAATTTTGGATGTCACCCAAACCTAACGCAGGGTTGCCGAGCTTTAGTGCTTCATATTGAAATAATATTGATGATGTCATCCTGTCCATAGATATGCTACCACATGGGCAGCGAGACGGACCCGGACCAGAGAGACAAGCAGACAGACAGGTCTGACATCGACATCCTCCAGCGCTACGTCGCCCGCTGTTTACCAGGCCTGATCCCTGAACCTGCCGTGGTGGAGAGCTGCATGTATACGGTTAAGTATCGACACTGAACATCACGCTGTTCTTAATCCATCAAAGTGCTGAGATTTAAGCTTCAGAACGTAAAGGAATCCGATGTTATCCGTCGGTCATCGAGAAATATCAGGAAAGTCAACACATCTGTCACTGGCAACACTCGCATACATTTATTTAAAGGGGATTCGAAGGGATCTAAACAGCATTTTACTCATTTTGCAGGAGACTAAACTCTATCTTGTTTATGAAGGATAGGATTACAGGAATTATATTAAAACTGAAAATATGTTGTAGGCTTAGCAATTATCCCTCCAAGTGTTTTGTGCGGAAAGAACACACGTGCATTTGCTCCCTTATCACTCCAGAGGTAACACAGGGTTTATTCCTCCTTTTTAAGATTGATTAATAATTACAACTTTATTTCTTTGATCAGAAACAGCAGGAGTTTTCCATAGACTGAACAAATCTCACTTTGATTCAAAATGACAACCCTGCCTCCCTGAAGATTACATTACAATTTAACTGCAACAGCAAATACGTTTTGTTGGATTTTAATGATTGAAGCTGCACATTTATTAAAAAAGGCAACAGATTTCAAAAGGGAGATGGATGACAGGAATACAAAACACAGGACACACGATACCAGAGTCAGTCCCATCTGTGGTTACATTCAGCCAACAAAACACTTTGGTTGAGGTAAAGAAAAGATGGTTTTTGTTAAATGTAAATAAACATATTGTGTCATTGTGAACGTTTTCTTTATTCAAATCAGACCAGGATGTTTCTCTAACCTGAACCAAAGAGCCGTGAGAGTCTGAACAGAATCATAAAACAGTTTAATAAAGCTGGAGTCACTACAAGAGAATCTGTTTTCTGCAGGATCAGATATTTTTAATATATATAGTGTTTCCTACAAAACATATTTACTGTTGCAGTTTAATTGTATGGAAACGTAATTTCTAGGAGACAGTGGTTGCACTCAATCCTAAACGTCACCATATCACGTCTACAAATATATATTGATGTGTAAAAATCATTCGATAGTTGTGTTAAATATACACAAATAATGAATATGTTTGGCTCTTTAATACCTGTATATGCTGAAGAGTTTACATGTCACATTTTTCCCCAGCCCCTCTCTGACAGATATCAAAGTTACCACAAGCTAACGACATTTGCCATGCAAAGTTTCCGTATGTACTCAAAAAATACTAAAATAACATTCGTGCTCCCCAGAGGACGGACCCCAGTTTTAACTCCACCTCTGCCAAGACTCACAATAGCTACATTTTCAGTGTGTTCGCTCATATTGCAATAAACATTGAAGCTTCTCTGAGCCACAGGTGTTAGATTTTGTTTAAAGCATGCAGAACTGTGTGTGTGTGTGTGTGTGTGTTGCAGGGATGGGGGATTGTGCAGCTGCTCTGCCCTCCAGCAACACTAGCTGCTTTTACCACGATCACATACTGAAGCTGTAGGAAAACATAATATCTGTGACCTTGTCCAATGCCACTGAAAATCCTGACAGTCACGCTCTTTTCTCACTGAACAGGAAGCGTGGTGCACCATCACCACTGATTCTCAAAAGAGGACAGAGTGCTCAATTACACGTGTCTCTACACTTCTTGTTAAATTTCGCGTTCTGTCAGAGGTCGTTATGTTTTCTACGACGGACTCTTTTCATGCAGTTAAACACATTTTAAAACACATTTTCCTCAAAGACACAATGACAGACGCAGCTCCAGAGGCCACACGGCCGTATGGAGAGAGTACGTATCCTTGTCAAGTGCTTCCAAGGACAGTCAGCAGCTGCTCAGTTCACTATTCGTGTCTCCATATAGTGGAATGAGAAGGCGGGAGAGAGAAGGACACTCTGGACTGAGGCTGCGTCCACACCAATACATTTTAGTTTTAAAGCGGCATTTTCAAACCGAAAACAAGCGTTTCAGTTGCATATGAGAAATAATCTCCGTCCAGACTAACACACCTGAAAATGCATATCACATGACCATTCAGGCATACAGGGCGTGTAAACAGGAAGTGGATTGTCGACTCTGCAGTTGGTTAGTTTCAGAAAATACTACGAACGAGGAACAACAGAGACAGTTGTAGCGTTAAGATGCAGAATTCAACTGAGCAACAGCTGCTAGCAGAGACAACAAGGTCAGCCACTGGTAGTCGAGGCTGATAAGATCCACTCAGGAGGCGAAGGTGGGTGTGTCTTTGCATCGTTTTTGCTCGTCCAGACTAAAACGCCACAGCAGAGTTTTCAAACTACAACGGGGAAAGCGTTTGCAAAAGTCTCACTTTAAAAAAGGAAACTCCGGAGTAGCGTCGACACCAGGAATAAACGTAGCAAAAGTGATGCGTTTTAAATTTTGGACTTTGCTCATGTTCGTGTTTTGTTGTTGTTTTCGCAGCTAACACCTGACCGTCATTTTGTGCTGGACCGTCACCCCAACCACAGTAACATAGTGATCGGAGCCGGATTCTCAGGTACAACACAAACCAAATGATGTGTGTGTTAACGTGATTATGGAGATGCTGCACAGACATGTAAACCAGACTAAGACCTTACAACAGTGTTAGCGGCTCTGTGAAGCTGTGCTTAGGTCTAATGGTGCTTTGCGCTAAATGCTAACATGTTTACAATGGCAAAGTTAACATGCTGAAGTGTAACATGTTCACCATTGTAGTGTTGGTGCTAGCATTCGCTAATTAGCACTAAACATAATGTCGCTGATAAAAAACATTGGACTTTTCAAGGCACTTAGTTGTAAATCAAAGTATTGGACAAATTAAAGTTTGACTACATGATGGTGTCGGATGAAAAGTCAGAGGATCATTTAAGTCACTGCAGGACATCTTGTTAAGAAGCTGCTGCCAACAGTAGAGTTTATTTGTTTCTCTGATTTGTACAGACATGTGAAGGGCACCACTGATAATGATCAGGCTTTCACAGAGAGCGTTTACAATAATGGAAGCGGCCAAGTAACTAGACGGTTAGTAGCAGCTGATCCTGGCAGACTGAAAGTGTAGAGAATGAGTAAATGTAATAAAATCTCCTGAAGAACCTTTGGCATTCAAACAGAAGGAATCGGCCTCCAGTTTATTTCATAATCCAAAAGAGGGCAACATCTCATCCTCCCGCTTTGGAAGGAAGGAAGAAGAACATTACTCACGGTGTCAGAGTCGACCCGCGAGGAGCGTCGGCAAACATAAAACCAATATTTCAGTCTGAGCCAAAGTGGTAGACAAGCCAAACAGATGACCGGCGTTGGCTTCTCTACCGCTAGCAAGGTTAAAAAAATAAATTTAAAAAAAAGTAAACGACAATACATTTAGAAAGAAGAATGAAGAAGAAGCTGCAACAGCAATTCCGTCACTGTGAAAGGAGGGGGCTGAAAAAAATATAGTGGCTGCAGCGCAATTAAAGATATCTGACATAGACAGGCCCATTTTAATTTGTCCCAGTAGTTGTTGAGATTTTTCAGCGTGGACCAAAGTGGTGGACTCGTCTGAGCGGCACAGAAATGAGAGAAACACAAACACAAGGACCTTTAACACCTGCACTGAACGTCTGTCTCGTCTTTACAATCATTTATTCAAAATGCCATCAAGAGAGTCGCCGGAAAAAACAGCACCACAAACGGTGTCTGCGCTCTGAAGCCGGTGGAGTCAAGTAGAAAATGTCGGTGTCAAAATGAAAATGTCAAAATCTCGATAAGACAAAAGAGCAGAAAGCTCCTCGTGCAGCAGATGTGAGCCGACGAGTGCCAGCACAAAAACAGCTGCAGCAGCCAAATGAATCAGCATCACTTGTTCCCCCTCACCCAGGAGGAGCACGGAGCCAAGTGGCCCAGTGCTCAGTGTGCAGCACAGAGGAGTGTCTGAAGAGCTGCGTGTGTGTGTGTGTGTGTGTGTGTGTGTGTGTGTGTGTGTGTGTGAGAGTAGCTTGTACATAAAAAGCTCCAGAGGTACAGCACATGTTTGTGACCAGTGTGGGTCAGAGGAAGGAGATCACAGAGTCTGAGGAGGATTTATTGGACAGGAAAAAGAAAAAAACAAAATGGAGTCCAGCAGCTGTCAACATCAGAACATCAGGTGCAGACAGAATCAGAACCTTATGTGGAGCTGGCTTCACCTGTTGTCTTGATAAAGTCAGGACCAGTTTTCAGTCAAACACTGTTCTGTCACAGTAACTGCAATTTGAGGTGTGTTCACTTGCAGCCACTAAATTACCAAAAAAAAAAGTGCAAATACAAACAAAACCTGCCTTGTTCTTGACCCACGACCTGCCTGGACAATAAGGTCAGATTTAACTTTTCAACCATGACTAAAGCATGACTTCATACCAGTCCTGACCAATCAGAAGGAGTGTGTAGTAAAGCCATCACATGACCTTCAAATACAAAGCAGTTAATCAGAAAGTGAACACAAACATTACCAACAATACCCAGAGACAATCTGCTCCCTCGAACTCCCTGCAGGTATTAAACAGAGAACGCTACACCTTGATTAACAGAAAGGAAAAGATAATAATATAAGCAGTAAGCAGAACAGAATTAAACAGCTCCACAATACATCCTAACTCCTCAGTGTCACACTTTATCTAAGGTGCTTAGTGAGACAATTTATATCGATTTGAGCTGATAAATCAGTCTAATTAGCTTGTTAGCTTATTTGCTACTGCTGCCTCTTAACACTGAAGGAGAAAAGACTGTTGCACCATCATAACTGATCTCAGGAAGTCAAGGACAGCTTGACCAGCGCACTTTGGCTATAGCTAGTCTCCCCCCTCCGCTTGACGCGGTCACGTCCACAAAAAGATACAAACAGCCGGAAGTCAAGCTAGCTTCCAGAGATAACAGCCTGCTGCCGCCACAAGAGGGCAGTGAACTACAAGAAGAATACAAACAGACAAGATCAGATGCTTCATGGGACAGAACTGAGATGTCAGGAGAGAGATATCGCTTCCACTTCTGTATCGTTCTACCTGATGGCCCCGGTCCTGACCTCACACCTCTGCTCCGGAGACTTGTTGTGTGTGAAAATATCAGGAGATCAAACCAGCCCGAAGCTCCTGACCTTCATCTCTGCAGGATTTTCTGCTTCGCCATGATTGGCCGATTGGATAATTGCATGTAAAGCAGGTGTTGAGGTGCGATGGGCCATGACTAATGTGCTCACAGTTGGACACGGTAAACTCCACATGTAACAGGGACATAGATCCTTAACTTTTAATAAGTTCTTGTCCATTGTGAGAGAGGTGGGAGAGCACCTCTCCTCTCTTCATGCAGTCATGTCCTTTACTTAATTACATCTGAAATTAATATCCTGCTCACAATCCTCTACTTGCAGAGCAGCAGGATAACGGGACTAAAAGTCTAAAAGACCGGCAATACGAAATGTTGAACAAATGAATTACATACTAATGATCTTGCTATTCACAGAGCCTTGTGGGTAGTGAATGACTTTCACTCCAAATGCACAAGTGCAACATTTTGCTAAGTGAGGCCATTTCGGTGAATGGAGGATGCTGCTTAGCCATGAAACCCTCGCGCTGGCCCGATTTCCCGCCAGGAGATTCTGCTGGGTTCTGCTCTACCTTGCGTGTGCATCTGGTGTCAAAGACAATGACTGAAATGAGGAATGAATGAAAAGGGGCTTTAACGAAAGTGCAGTCTGCTTCCTCCTCTGCCCTTTGTTGATGCCAGATGTGTGGCAGAACGTGCACACATGTGCGTGTGCAAGAGACAAACAAAACTGTGCTATTTAGCTCAAAACAGTGCTAAATGCTAACATGAGCATGCTAACAAAAGCCCAATGAGAAAGCTAACACACAGCTGTTAACCATGTTTACTATATTGGTTTAGTACAGAAGCTGAGAGAGGCCAAACTCGTATTAAAAAATATTTTTTATCCCGTTATCTCAAAATGACAAAGCCATGATCAGGAGAAAACTATTTTTTGTCATCTCGAGATAACGAGACAATTTACTCCGTTATCTGGACATAACAAAGCTTGTTTTCTCATTATAATTACACTGTTAATCAGCGATCAGATGTGCCAAGCCAGTATGAACAACTTCTAGTGCTGTATGAAGGTGCAGATTCTCTGGACTGCGTGTTTCTCCTGATAATATCTCCTTATCTCTGGATAACGATCTTTTATTTTTTCTTTTAATATTTGCGAGTACGGCCTTTCTCGGCTTCCGTAGTTTAGCATGGCGAGAATTTTGTAAGGCACAAACAAAGTATAAGACGTTTTGAGATGTTGATTTGAAACAACTTAATGAAAACTCAACAGACCAACAGAGATGGTGGGATTCATCCTCTGGGGACCATGAACGTCTTTACCAAACTTCAAGGAAATCCATCCTAGCTGAAATATTTCAAGTCAATTAATTAAAATCCTCCCCCAACGCTGTATCTGTTTAATTAGTGGGTTAGTTAGCCGTGTTCCTAGTGCTAATTAATATGCGTGCTGTATGTTCTCACTCTGCAGCAGCAGTGCAGAAGCTCAGAGACATATTGGAGACGTTCACAGGGCCTATCCATAATACAGGAAAAAAAATAAAATAAAAAGTGTGTTGCCTTCCTCCTCCTCCTTCACTACGTGCATTCGTCATCAAAGCCCAACACAAGTGCTTTAAAGCAAGTGCTGGGGGGTTGCCATGGCTACAAAGTCACCCTGTGGGCCTGGCCATCTATTGAGGTTTTCCATTCTTTTTCTCTGGCAAGATGAAAATTCACGTGGCCAAACTGTCAGAGCCGAGCTTTTATGACTTCAAAGCCGAGCGGAATCCAGGGGAGCTGCGAGACCTTTGTCAGATGGCAGTGAGCTGCATTCCTCAAGCCCTGTTGACATTCACAATTTGCCTCTCAGACCTTAGCAACAAGAAAACTCGGGCTGCCGCATTTTGAAAATAGACGCTCTCTCGTCTCACTCCTGGGCCCGAGCACATGAAACCATTATGCAAAGAAAGGACAAATCTCCCTTATTTAGCTTTTGGTCCCAGTTCACTAAAGTGAAGAGATGCTCAGTGACAGGCATCGCAACAGCTTTGCTCCTCTTTTATGTATTCATTCGTGAGGGGCTTGAACCCATCGCCTGACTCAGACAAAGGCCCAGAGACGCAGAGATATTTATAGGCAAACTACAAGGTGCAGGGCACGGACTCGCTCACATTAGGACACTGATTCACCTGACACCGCTTGTTGACCTGTGTACATATTTTATTTACTGATATGACTTCTCTTCTCCAGGTCACGGCTTCAAGTTTGGACCAATCATTGGGAAGCTTCTGTGTGAACTCAGCCTGGGAGAAGTGCCTTCCTACGACCTTTCACCTTTCCGAATCACACGCTTCCAGGCGAAGACCAAATCAGCTCTATAGAGCTTTATAGAACTGGAGCATCAAGAAGTTTTATGTAATTGTAACGAACGTATGATTTGACATTGTTGTGGTAATTTAGCACAATCACACAATATGTTTTGTCTACTGTTTTATTTGATGTTGCCAATTCCACATGGCGTGATCAGCTGTGCAGCACTTAAAGGTCCCATATAAGCTAAAGGTCTCTGTCCATGTGTAGTGTGATTATAGATCAGCTCTAGCTTCTATATTAATACTGTGAAAGTATCAAAGCCTCAGTCCACAGAGAAATGCACACAGCCTGTATTCAGAAACTGAGCCTTAAAACCAGCCGTCAGGACTTCCTGAACTTTGTGAGGTCACAACGAAATATATCTTCTTATGGATCAACACTTCAAATAAAACACAGGAAATGTGTAAAATATGGAGCTTCAAGCATTATGAAACTTGTCAGTGTGTTTATATGCACTTATGTAACCAGGTTACAGTCTGCAGCTTTCCGCAGTCATCTGATTTCTCAAGGGAATAGTTTGACATTTTGGGAAAGCCAAGAGTGAACCACTCTAATTTCCGTACACTAAATGTGAAGCTACAGCCAGGGGACGATTAGCTTAGCTTAGCATAAAGACTAGAAGCACAGGGAAACAGCTAGCTTGTCTGTGTGTCCGCCAGCACTTTTACAATTTTTTAACACATCTTGTATGTATAGTTTAATAATTAATGGAAAAACAGAAGTGACAGAAGTTTTCTTCGTTTTCGCCACAGAACATTTATCATTTATCAGCAGGGTGAAAGGAGAGGTCATTTCATGCAGCAGCAGAAACTCGTCTGAATAAAACCGAAACAGAGGATCTTCTGGAAATCTAAATGAGTCGGTATATTTCACACAGTCTCACAAACTATTGCACATCAGCTTAATAAAATATCCATGCCTTCTCTATCGTGCCTTCCCTCTGAGTGCGTGAAAATACCTCAGAGCAACCTTTCCTGTGTTCATGTACACGTGCAGAAATACTCAAGTGGACACATATTCTTAAAAGCCGCATTTCAAGTGATCACTATTCCTCACTATTGTTTTAATACTGTGCAGTTCACTCAAATTGTACAGATTTATATGAATGAAAGAAGAAAACAATCTGAAGTCTTGTGTTTTTCAAAGCAACAAGAGCTTTATGTTTTTCACCAGCAATAAACTTAATTTTGAGCTGAGAACCATCAATGACAACAAGATTCTGACAATGTTGTGCAATTGTGAAATCACCCATCTGTGACAAATGGTAATAAAAAAAAAGCTTATTGTCTTATTGCTCTGTATGATTTCATGCATCTGTAAACCTCCCTCTCACTGCCTTCCCAGCATTCACCATTTTGCCAACTAAGTACGTGGTTAAAAAGACATAAGCCCCAGAGCCATTTGTCTGCGAAACCAGCTGCGTGCCTCGGTTTCAGAGGTGGCCTATTGCCTGGATTTATGTCTCCATGTACCGGTAAACATTTAAATCACTAATCAGACGGCCTATTACAATGGATGCCAACCAAGGCCATCAGCAGGAATGGGAAAATTATGCAGCGAGATGGCAGAGATCAGTGAGCCATTTGCTCCCTTGCCTCCAAGTGACTTCAGATGGATAGCAAAGGCCCATTATGCAAATTGCAAGAATTAGAAGTACATTAAACATGCGAATGCAAATATTCAACCACCAATAATCATCCTGCAGGGCCAACTAAAACACCTCTCTGGAACAATGTGGAGCCCCTAAAATCCCACTAAGCTTCACATGAACAATATGTGTAATACAAGTGTTAGACACCTGATTACAGCTCAGTCAGCTACTGGGGTTGGTGGAGACCAAACCAGAGCTAAAAGCAGAGTGAATATTGGACCTGCATACATCAGGGGAATGCTAAATGTACGCTAATATTGCTCTGTGTCCGTTGGAAATAAAAATAGTACTAGATGGACATATTTTGACAGATGATGCACATCAAGCATGAACAGTCCATCAAAACTGAGGTTGAGAAAATATGACAAAGCCTGTGTCGCTCTTGAGTTTGAGTGTCAGTAGAGCAGGAAAGCTTTGTGCCTTTTGTGACTTCAAACTGTGTCAGTTTGGGGAAAGTTTACTGCAAGACTCTTGAGTCATTTGTTTTACAGACATTATCCAGCCAAGTGGAAAGAGGCTATGAATAGGAAACAACAAAGTTGAGATCTCCTGTTGAGATTGGTGTGTTTATGACTTCTACTTTTCTGATTTAAAACCACTTAAACATGACACTAATATCTAATTTTGCTAACATAAGCAACCACACGCTACTTAGCCATACGAGACAGAGTAAGGTCCTTATGGAAAAATCCAGAAAGGGTGAGTTTTATCACATTTAACCTTTTATTTTTAAAAGTTTCATAATTTTTCTTCTTCTTCTGTGTTTTATTTGAGGTACTGATCCATAAGAAGATATATTTGTGGTTTTAAGAACCAAAAACCATCTCAGTGTAGTTTCTCTCTGGCTTCTCACTGCAGCTCTAGTAACAACAGGTCTGTGAGCCAATCAGAAGAGAGGAGGCTCTGAGCCTCTCTTCTGATTGGCTGACTGTTTTCTGAGTGATCCAATAAAAATATAGCAGATTTTAGGTAAAAACACTCAGAGAAACCAAATCCTGCAAGGTTTGGATGGTGTGTCCAGGTGGGCGGGGCTTGAGGCATGTTTGAGTGTGATGATTGTATAGTTGTGACATCACAAAGTTCCAGAAGTCCTGACGGCTGGTTTTAAGGCTCAGTTTCTGAATACAGGCTGTGTGCATTTCTCTGTGGACTGAGGCTTTGATACTTTCACAGTATTAATATAGAAGCTAGACCTGATCTATAATCACACTACACATGGACAGAGACCTTTATATGGCACTTTTAAAAAAATGTATGGTTTACGGGAAGGTGGGGCATCTCTCCAGAAGTAACATTACAGAAAGTATAGAACTACTGCTGTATATTATGACTCGTAAACAATCATTGAAACCCACATGGAGTAGAGACAAGGTGCAGCAGCTGCCTACACAAACCTTTCTTCCATCAAACAATGTGTATATCAAAGCAGAATAAAGAGGACGAAACAGAAGTACCAGCGGTGGGCTAAAGATTCTCCCAGAGGGGGTGAAGCCAACAGTTAGAACCATCTCTCAAATCACAGCTGTGACAGTGGAAAGATGGAAAAGAAAAGAAAAAAAGAAAGAAAAGAAACAGTGAGACTGAGAATGACAGCAGAAGCATTTTCCACATAGCCAAGCTTACAGCGCAATGTTATGTCTGTTCTCTCTCCCACTGTTGTGCAGGAAATCTGCCACTGCTGTCACGGAGGTTTCAGGCAAACGCGAGCCTGAGATCATAAGTGACATTTTCCCAGAATGCAAACAGAGTTCATGCAGTGATGAATATTTACAGGGGCGGTGGTAACCTGAAGCACGAAGAGCGTAACCCAGAGGAGTTCAGACGACGACGGCTCACAGTGGAACTGGGCAGCAGCCACTGGTCACTTTGAACTGGGCAGTGCATGTGGAAATATATTTACACTGAACCCCCTGAAATCCGCTTTAATGTGAAATTAGGCCGTGTTTGGTTCATGCATTAGTGCTGCATCGGAGAGGGTTAAAACTCTCATATAGTGTAAAGGTCTGTGTCCATGTGTAGTGTGATTATAGATCAGGTCTAGGTTCTATATTAATACTGTGAAAGTATCAAAGCCTCAGTCCACAGAGAAATGCACACAGCCTGTATTCAGAAACTGAGCCTTAAAACCAGCCGTCAGGACTTCTGGAACTTTGTGATGTCACAACAAAGCAGTCACCAAGCCCCGCCCACCTGGACCCACCATCCAAACCTTGCAGGATTTGGTTTCTCTGAGTGTTTTACCTGAAATCTGCTATATTTTTATTGGATCACTCAGAAAACAGTCAGCCAATCAGAAGAGAGGCTCAGAGCCTCCTCTCTTCTGATTGGCTCACAGACCTGTTGTTACTAGAGCTGCAGAGAGAAGCCTGATAGACGAGATCTGAAACTACACTGAGATGGTTTAAATATAGCTTCTTCTGGATCAACACTTCAAAAGTGTAAAATATAGAACTTTATATATATATATAATGTAGCATTTAATGTAGCAATGTAGCATTTAATGTAGCATTTGAGCTACTGAAGGCATGAAAACAGACACAGATACAACAACAATAAGAACAAAAAGTTCAGTCTGTAACTGTTTTAAGAGAGTAAATGTAAATTTCTTAGATTACATACTTACATGTATAAGTAGAATACTTACACAGTAAATGTAAAAGATGCTTAAGACTCAGTATCTCACAGAATATGTGAGAATTGTCTTGAGTTAAGCTTAAAAATGGCTTCACAGCATGTGAATCAAGGTTGCTGCGGTTTGCATTAATGGAGTGAGAATTTCAATCACATAAATCCCTTCTAAAATATTTAAAGTAAAAAAAGAAAAGAAAAGAATAGAAGACACTGATTTAAGACCCAGAGCCCAGGAGCTAATAACCAAAATTTGATCTAAGCGACAATTTTCCTTTTGGATTAAAATGGTTCTGTAATGTCTTTAAGTCTCCACCATTACAACGAGTAGAGAACATAAGAACATAATTATCGCCACTTTGAAAACCCCCTGTAAACGTACAATTGTTGACCCATCCATCCACTCTGACCTCCTGCCTCTGCGGTCTTTGTGGCTCTAAAAAAAGACCACCGACTTCCTGCTTTGCTGCGGTTGTGGGCTAATTACTACAAACACATCATTCTGGGGGCAGAAACAGTAGGTGATGATGTTTTTCTTGGGAGGACGGTCTCCACACACAGATAAGAAGAGGAGGCGTGATCATTAAAGTCACGGGGGAACTTTAAAGGCCCCATGTGGAGTAGCTGCTACTCAGTCTGCGGAGACAGTCGTATAATGTCATCCGTGGGTCTAGAGCAGCTTTGTCGCGATTTACATTTTGTAAACCTTAAAATAAAACAATGATAAATAGAAGCAAAAAAGGATTTATTTTATGTTATGCATTAATCCAGAATCATATTAATGTTTAAGTACTAAGCACCACACTAAAGCATAAAAGTACACAAACCAATAAAAAACATTTGGAGTTCTGTAGGAGTTCCACATCCGCTGAACAACAGATCATGTGCACATAAGAGGTTTTATGAAAGGGAACCGTACACTTCCCTACAGACGCTCTCCGAGTTACTGAACCTGAG